CAGTCTTTTGAAGTGTGTAAAGCTCCATTTTATCCCATACATAGTCAAAATATTGGGGGGGATGATACAATGGACCATCCCCCCTTGTCAAATATTGGGGGGATATATCCCCCCATCCCCCGGGATCTACACCTATGCAACCAAGGGGAAGACTAAAGCCACCAATGACAATAACTTGGTAACTACATGGGAAGGTAATGCTCAATGTGCTCAATAGACCTTTCCAAAATGTCTTATCAAACTTAATGACTGACCAATCAGGAGAGGACCAGGAATAAACGTGTGTCCAATAAGCACATGTGTTTGTATGTCTTAACCACTGATCTCTACTATAATAGGTGGATTGATCATCAGCAAATTTCTGAAGTGACCCACCACAGTAACCACCACCAATGGAGTACTTTTTAAAAAATAATCCTTGAAAGTATTTTGGGTGTTATTTTTTTATTGTCTTAGTGTCGTCGTCATCTGGTAATGTCATCTTTGACTAAATGAACAATGGAAAAATTATTCCAACATGTTTTAATGTTTGAACAATAACACAATTGTGATGGTTTTTAATTGACTAGTCATGCAGTAACACAGTGAATCTTTTTCTTTGTTACTAAGTGTTTATTATTGAAATATTAATCTATATAATTTTTTTTTCCTCACATTACTGTATGTAAATTTAATACAGCCTTAATATGTGCACAACGCACGCCTGTTTTCCTTGTAAAGTGCATTGAGGCTTTTTGTGAAATGTGCTATAGAAGAATAGAATTATTATTACTATTAGTATTATTATTATAAATTATATATTATTATATTATCATTATTATTATTTATTATATTATTATTATTATAATTATATTATTATTAGACAAGTTACTGGGTATTGCAAGAATCATTATTTTTAACAATAATTTAAACAAATGCCAAAAAAAACTTGTCTAAAATGATACGTCACTCAGGCCTCCCAACATGGCGTCGGTAGCCTCACTAAAACCAGCCAATGAGCAATCCAGCTATTATAGTAGAGATCAGTGGTTTTAACAAACTGTCATCTTGTGAGACCTTAGCAACAATATCCAAGGGGCGGGGCTTAACAGAAAAGTTCATTGAAACATACAGTATGCATCCAGCCAGGCTGGAAATGGCATCTTTCTCTTAACTGGTTGTTGTAGGCTGATTTTGCTTGAGGAAACAAGAGAAGCCTCATGCACGTTCCTCTTCATCCAAAACCGATCAGCTTTCTTCCTTGTCTGTCAACAAATCAATCCAATCTCCAATAGTAGGTTACAGTAATTAGAGATATATGAACCTGATAAAAAAAACTAAGACAAATATGAAAAGATAGATTAATTGAAGCACCATTGTCGGAGACGCAGGTAGGGCAACTGGCAGAGATTTCTGAAGAGTCCTAGATATGAGGGTGAATCAGTTCAAATATCAAATCGATATCAAACAATCATATAAAATATATGAATAATACGTATTTTATTTATTATTTTTCAGACATGGAAAATGATTTTGCTTTCAAAGAATGCAATTACATTTTATTACAAACATGAACATCCATCTGTGATGTTGACATGTTTTTTTTTTTTTTATGTAATGATTTTTTTTATCAATTTTATTTACAAAAGGAAAAAAAGCATTGAGCTTTCCTATTTTGTAGGCCTACTATGTAAAACAATGTAATGATTGTCCAAATAAGTGTGGAATTTGAATTATTAGTAATTGTATTAAATGGTATTACACAGAATAAAGATAATTTAATTCATTCTAAAAATAGGACATGCACTATTCAAACAGCATTTAATTCTTGCATATTTTGCCTGTATAAATAATAGATTCAGTTGCACACCGCTGCCATTGTTATAGCCAGAACACCAACAATGACAACTAGAGTACCAATGTAGTAGTAGTAAAACTTCATTTTGGCCTATTCACAAAGTACAAATCCACAAATATAATACTGTTTTTTATTATGGTCGTCACATACCTTATTTACAATTACCATAAATTTCACAGTACAGTACATAATAAACAAAAGGTAAACGCAGAAATTAATTATATAAATACAAAACATATAATTATTATACAGTATGCAAAAGTCAACAATTTAGTAAAGTAAAAGTAATCTATAGCAACAATGGCAAAATAAATTATGGAAATGAAGAAAATCCACTCCACAAAAAGTAAACTGTAAATTACGAAAAAGAAATGTAAAATATTAATAAAACAAAGTAAGAAAACATTAAATTAGTGATTTATGCAATGTTTATACTATTATACTTTGTTTTCATTAATTATTAATACAAATGTGGTTCTTCTAAATACTTATTGATTGAAGACTGTACATGAGGGCTTAATCTATTCCATTCAATAGCACTATCATATGAAACACTTTAAAAAAAAATTAGTCTCATGCATTCAGTTTGCCTTGATTCCCGTCCTAAGGACGGGTAGGCAGCTAGTTATTATATAAACAGGAATGCAACATGAACTATCAATATGGAGATGAAATATCCAAAAAAAAGTTATACAGTAGGTAAAATAATGTCTGTTTAGATACGCAATATCAAATGTCGCTGCTGAAATAGATTGTGAAAGCATACAGATTAGCTGTATGCTTTTTGAGCTTATATCATTTACTGTTGCTTTTAATTTAAATATTTTCTTTGTTTTCCGTATAAGCTGATATCAGTTAAATGCTTATCTAGGCTTAAGTTGTCCCTGCGAATCAACTCAACTGAGCTCAACGAGTTGCCAGTAGCACTCATGTCAACTTTCACTCGCAATCTTGCAGGTACAGTACAAGCAACCAGGTAAAACTATTTACCCAGACCGCTTATGTTGCTTCCGATTATAGATTATCTATTACTAATGGAGTTTTCATGCGACTATTTAATACAGCCTTAGTGCGTGCACAACGCACGCCTGTTTTCCTTGTAAAGGGCATTGAGGCTTTTTGTGGAATGTGCTATAGAAGAATGGAATTATTATTATTATTATTATATATTATTATTATTATTATAAATTATTATATATTATTATTATATTATTATTATTATTATTATTATTATTATTATTACTATTATTATTATTATTATATTATTATTAGACAAGTTACTGGGTTACTATTGTCACATAACTACTCAATCACTCGACAGCTTTGAATTATAGCAAAATAGAACATAGGCAATCGAAACAACTGGCAATAGAATTGCTCATTTGGCTCACAATTGCTCATCAGTAATTGCTCACAGTTGCTGGCTAGTGGCAAAGGGTCAGTTGATTGATTGGATTACAGTGTTATTGTATTGTTATTTTTGTTATGATCACTATATGATTATTATCCTTATTACTGTGATCATTATGAATATGAATATTTTTTTAATTTTATTTATTCTTTCTTTATACTGAATATACACTTTCAATACATAGTACTGGTTTCCAAAGTGGTTCAGTTCTTAACTACAAAATTTTAAAAGCAGATATATACACATTGTAACCAAAAAAGATTGATAACTTTACTACAAATTAAAATAGATCTAAAAGGAACATTGAAAGAAACTTTATAAAAATAAAAAATTTAAATAATAAATATGGATATGCAAGGTAAGAGAAAATCATGTTTATTTAGTAGATCAGTATACAAAAGTTCTTTTACTTCATGACCATTTAAACATTTGAAAATCATTAGGAGCAATTGTTAGTCCCATTTATCACTGAGTTTGCTCCATATAAATATTATTATTGCTATTATTATTATTCTTATTATTATTATTATTACTGGATTACAGTGTTATTGTTGTTTTTATTGCTATGCTTTTGTAGTTGACACTTGTACAGGGAATGTCTCCCTTTGTTAACTACCATCTTGTGTGAGGAAAATAAAATTATGAATTATGAATTATGTCAGTTAAGCTGAGTAGCAAGGGCGATATAAGCTTATCTATACAGTAGTTTCATCTGCTGTAAAAGTACTGTGTGATTATATTATTCTGCCAAAATACAGTACTAATTTGCAGAACTACCGAAAGTAAACACGAGCACTGTCATGTTGCCCCTAGACCAATAATTTTTGATAACCACCTAATAATGACCTTTACCGCAAAAACCTTATGAATAATATGGCGAAGAAAATGTTTAGCCTAGGCTTGCCTGAACTGGTATGAGAACAGTACTTGTTGAGCTGACTGGCAAGGGAAGCCAGCGTATTTAATTCAAAATGCAAGAATAATCGTATAGGGCCACGCAGGAATGCACTATAAGATGAGTATCTGATAGGGATGTCTGCCTTAATTTCTTGCTTGTTTTAATATTCAATGTGTGCTTGGTATAGTTGTATAAGTAACTCTCTTAAATTGAGGCTCTAGACTATCACAAAAAAAAAATTGTTTTAGATTTTGGGCCTAGGTCTCATATTGGTCAACAAGAGCTTTCCAGTTTCGGATACCTAAATATCAAATCTTGTGTAAAATTTCTCAAACTCAATCATATAAATAATATCTACTATTAAAACAAATGTGCCGAAATTTTACCCCCCAGTCTCAAACCAACACCAAATCCAATACAAGAAACAGGAAATACAGTATAACTTTGTTGATCGAAAAACAAAATGCGCAAATCACTTCCTTTTTTGCGACTGTTATCCAAAACTGGAAACTGATGACCATGAGATGTTTAAGAGAAAACTTAAGGAATTTTTGCTTACTGACTTATAAATGTTTCATGTTTTTATCATTTTACTGTATTCATGTTTTTAATATATACTGGTATATACTGGTATTTTATAATTGGACATTTAAACAAAAATCAATTTTAACACTTTAACAAAATTCTAAATTTTTTATATTAATGTGTTTTTTAAATTTTTCTATATTTACCAAACTTGCCTGCTTCTATCATGCATCACTATCTGTAAATATTCCCTTTTGTAAAATAATTCCTCTAGCTTCTGGACCCCACTGGAAATAAGTGGAGTCCAAGCACTGGGCTTAATGGTCATCTAGGCAGTGCATTCAAATAATTTTTCTCTCTTTACATATTTTTTATGTATTTCCTCATCATTTTAATCTAATATGGTATGTGACATCAGGGGCGTACCGTAGGGGGGTCGATGGGTGCGGGCCACCCCCCTTTTAAAGAAAGTGCCCTTTAAATATGCTCGCTTCACTCACAAATAACGCACCCTGCAAATTCTGAAAGCTTCGCTAAATTGCTCCGAGTTCAGCTTGCCCCCTGCGCTTTGGTTTCGACCCCCCCCCCTTAGATTTTTCTCAGTACGCCCCTGGACATTGAATGCAAAATAAATCTAATCAAATCGAATAGTTGGCAGTTAACATTTTAAGTACACACCTTCTCACGTAGATTAGGCTGATGTCTGACATTGGCTGATGTACTGTAGTGCGCGTCTGCAACTCCACATCTCAAGCAAACGCTAAAGAATAATTATCAAAGTACAGAAGGCTATCTGGTGAACTTCCCGCAGTAAATTGGTCAATTTATTTCCACAAACACATACCTAATTCATGTCCGTTTTGTCATACTGTAATTAGTTGTTATTTTCACATTGTAAACAATAAAGACAATTGGCAATGAAAACGTTTCTAGTACAATCAAGTATTTGTTTATTACCGGTACATTATGAAAGCAAGAACTCCGTCTAACAACGCTCGCTAAGCAACTTAAACCTCTCCCAGACAATTAGTAGACAAATATATTGCACTAACTTCCAACAAATTTAAAGACAAAAAATACAGAGCATTTCTAAGTGAATGAATTGATAAAAGAAATGCAAATTTCTTATCTGCTCCAATAAACCTCTCTTCCAAAGTATTAATAATTATTGTTTCTAACTTTATACAGAAATGTTAAAAGTATTTATCACATAGCAAAATATTCGAGTATTTGGTCCCTTTAACAGTCGGTCAAAATCAGTTTTAATCAAAGAATATATTGTTCCTTGGTTACATATGCTCTGAATATACCAATATGCACTCACAACACAACACAACATACCATCCAATTGATCAATAAAGTGTTATTACTGTAATAACTTCAACATCTCTTATTCTTGTAAAATGAGACTCATAACATTTATCTGAAATTTAATTTTACCAAATACTGTTTGATAAAAGTTCATATAAAGATAAAAACTATTCCTAATTTTATGATGTCGGCCTATATACACTTTCCTTTAGATACACACTGACTCTTAAACAATGAATTGTTCATAATATAATAAAAACTGTGACCTGGACAGTGATTAAAGTAGAATAGACTATATTACAAATCACATAATCTTATGGGTCATACACTCACAACAAAAATACCTAATTATGGTTGCATGCCAGTTGACAATTCCCATCATGCACTCCAAGAATTTAACCAATGGCCATCAAGATAGGTAAAAGTTTATTCATCATTAGCAGATCACCTCATGCTAACTAATCAATTGTCTATATTTATTAACCAAATTATTTTTATCATAAAAATTTAATTTTATATTCGTAATTGGATCTCAACCACATTAATCAGTTAACATTCATTTTACCAAAAACTAAAAGATTGCTTTTTCTGAAATTAAGTTATATAAAATAAATTCCAGACGTCCATGATAATAATAAATTTATCATATTTCTGTATTTCTTACAATAAACCTATGGGATTAGATATTTTTGCATGCAATGCACATAATGCAATGGCGCTTGAAGCACGATACTGTAAGGAGAGCTGCCAACATCTTCCATAAGATCTCTCATCTATATCTGTCACACAAGATATGTCATATCAAAATTAAATTTATTGACCTCATTAAAAAGCTCTTGCAATACAAAACAAACATCTGGCTATTCATATGGTTCAATATCACTCTTAACCAACTACTAAAAAGCTAAGTATTAATTTCATAATATTCAGTTCATTTTTAATGAGATTTTCCAGATGTATTTCTATGTAATAAACAATTATAATATTCAGGTTAAATCAGTTGAACTTTAATGTCAACACACTTGGCTACTACTCTCCATACACAATTTCTGCATGATGGTTCATTGTGTAATATTATTAATCAAATTTATCATAATGGCTTAGAAAAAACAAATAAATTTAATAGGCCTTTTCATTATATTGACATTAAAAAATTACCGGTATTGTATTATCCAAAAAATCCAGATTGCAGCAAAATTTAACAAAAAATATATATTTTTTTAAATATAAGGCCAAAACAAATTGTTATGTTGCCTAAGTACTCAGCACTTTTTTTTCCTATTGGCTTAGGATGAGTGCCAACCATCATTAATTGGTTCCAATTTTAAGGTGCCAAATCCATTTAATTTTTAAAGCATCATACAAGTAATTTTAGCTCATTTTTGGTAAATTTGAACCTAGATTTTTAGGATTCCGAATCAGCCAGGCTTGGGGAACACAGTTTTGATTATTTTTGGCCTTAATTATAATATAAACGATGCACCATAGTATGCATATTATAAGTGCACCACATTTATAACATTGCATACATGTTTCTCGTCACTGTACCACTTTGAAATTCAGTACTATTGTACTGAAAGTATCTACGGTATAAAAAAAGAATAAATAAAACAATAAAATTAATAAATTACTGTTATTCTATGGTAAGCAGAGGTTGAAAAATGGCTTATTCAAGTACAGTGCTTTTAGAAGTTACAACAGCTATGGTGATACAATGAAGGTTAACTAACATTGTCTCCCTCACTTACAATGTTAGTTATCCAATCAAGGTTTAGGTTGCCCTCATTTTGGTCCTTCAATTGAAGCTGAGGTTGGTCTTATTTTACAGGGCTTTTTACATTAAGGATGAGGCTGGCCTCACATCAGCTCAAGCAATCAACTTGGTGAAAACATATTTAAAATATAAAAAAAACTCATAAATGTCACATAAACGTGAGCAACATGATAGAAAATGACTGAAACTGCATTTTGGACAAAATTTTATGAATATGAAGAACTGATTTAAAGACAAGCTGGATAAATCAAATAAAATCATTGCTTAACTCAACTGTCGAAAAAAATCTGAACCAGCACTAATCAAAAGAAAATTTCCCTTGCCAGAATTTCCATAATAATGATAATTTACATTTATATAACATATAGCACACTGCTTATTATAGCTTTACACCAAATTATAAAATAAAATTAATGTTTAATGCATATATTTTCAGGCAAACATCCGGTGACATATCCAGACAGTGTAGAATGCTTCATCATAATGGCAAAATCAGTCTTCAAACTTGGCAAAGATCTATGCAACCCACCTTGCATATTTAGTGTAGTCGCAGTTTTGTTTTCATTATAATAATTGCTACGAAGCAACCTTGAATAACTGAGCCACAATTAATTTAAATTTGTTCAGAAAATAATTGAGATTTTGCAGTGAGATTGGACATCATGTTTACCATAATGCATAGTTAATCTTGAATGCCAAATTTGAAAACTAATAAATTTAACAAGGATCCATCTTCTCAATCACGATATTAATAAATTTACTCTCCACTGCTAGGCAATTAATATTTTTACATCATAGGATAATTCCACAAAATTAACATCATAGTTCTTATAAAAATAATAGAATGCTATTCTGCAATAAATTTGACTTGAAAAATTAGAAGATTAACACAAATATTTTGTCTTGTCTCGTTTGCACTCTTTACATTCTTAAAATATGACACCATTGTATTTGGGGTGACTTCATAAATAAAAAGCATAGATGAAGTTTGATTAAATTATAAACACAGCATAGCATTTGATGACTTCAGTTCCATATACAATGATGCTATATTACCTTACACACCCACCCACACAGCATTTAGAATACTAATAACATATGAATGTGTCATTCATTCTATGGTAACTGGTTTTGCTTATCTGATATTTTTTAGTTTTTTAGGAGGGGTGGTATTAGATTTGTGATAAGGGTGATAGCTGTGAAGAAATCGTCACCAGGGACCTTGGGAAATAGAAGTACTAATTAGTAACTAAGTTGGTTTGTTTTATCGGAAGTATAACCATGGAGGTACTAGCGAGGAGGGAGATCACTCGAAAAAGGACACAACACTATGCAAATGAGCAAAGAACCAAGCTTCTGCAGTGCGTGAAGTCAGTTTACGCGATACCTTTTAAGTCTAATGTGTTCCCAACCAACAGTTGCTCAGCGGGTCTAGTTTATGAACAAATTAAACATGGCAAAATGGAGAGCATCTTCCTTTTTCAATGCGCACTGCTTACAGTCAATGGCCATGGCTACGCAATCATTTTCACCTTAAAAATAATACATTTATCTTTCCAAAAAACAGAAACCAAGCATATTAATATTTTCTTCCAAAAGAGTTTCGAATTTAATGAAACATTTACATGAGCCTTAAAAGTATGGAATATTTTAACTTGTATTTCCATAATTTGGATTAAATTCGATAATTCTAATTTCAACAGATACGCTATTAATCAAGAAATGATTGAGAATTATAATAAACTAAGTCACTTTAGTGTAAACGCATGTGAACTATTTGAAAATTCAAACCAAAGTCAGAGTAATTTTCAGTTTTAAGCTGCCTCAGCTTTATAGGCCAGTCAATCTGTTACAAAATTATAGAAATTATTTTGCAGAATCTGTTCCTGAAATATACACACAACATACTGAATGCCCAAAAAAGTCCAATCAAGGAAACAATGTAAATTTTTTAAATATTTAATGAGTCAACATCAAACGGTTTATGGTGTCAAATAGCAAAACTACTGCTTGAAGCATATAACAGCCTGATGTTGCCAGGTTTTTGCTAAACGAAAAATGGTTAAAGGTAAGATAGACGTCCACGCACGAACTGAAGGCAGGGAACAAATTGGTTTGTTGCATTAAAGTGATATGTTGCTGAGTGATCAACACCTCCATGGTATACCTTGTGTAAACAGAATTTGTGTTAAGTGTGGAAAGTGGTGCATACAGACAAATATCTGCTATTTGAACAAATATGGATGGATATGGATTATCATACCATATATGGGCAAATCCCACATATATTCCACATAAAATTTGTTAATGTGAACACGTCTTCAGGTGTATCATTATCCTATAGTACAGTATTTAATACTCATTATCATATTCTGTATCATTGTATTTGTATAATATGGAAGATTTTCAAGGATGGCAATCCTTGGCACATGTATTGTGTGCCTAAAGAAAGAATAATAATTTTGATTGTACAATATAGCAAAATATTTGCAGCTGTTAAAACCTAAAGCTGCAAAATTGTTATTTGCCATATGAATATGCAAATGAGTCTCCATGCTCTGTATCCCAGCCAACCAAATGCGTGCAGGTGCGGAATTTTTCATTATTAATTTCAATGGATTAAATGTTTAATATGGGCCCAAACTTTTTATGACATTAACATGTGGAAAAGCCACTTTTAAGAGGAAATACAGCTATTTTTAGACATTAGACCTTTGGTGTAGTACGGTAATACAACTTTACAGACTTTTGCCTACAATATATATATTTATATATAAGTTGTATATAGACTTTGAGGAAGATTAACGATGGAAATAATGGAATGGATGACTGAATAAATGGCTATGCATACAGTAAGCAAATGCCCAAAATAAAAACACAAATTAATTGAAATAAATATAGTTGCTTTGAATAATTATTACTTAACATTCATATAAGTGTGTCACTTCCAATATTATTAGGAATCTGACGTCAATTTCATTACTGCATCTGAAAAATCTTTATCCATTCCTATAGACAGCATGTGCAATCTGGTCCACGTCCTCTTTAGAATAACCGTCTTATCACAATCATGTTGCACAGACCTAAGGTCAATGGCGCGGACATCCTAGACGTGCTGGCATGATGGGTAGTGTTGTCTTGAGGGGTAAGAACGCAGCTATATGGGAGGCGACACAAAACTGACAGGGAACACTCCTCTTCGTGTAGGCTCGCCTTCAATCTCACCGATCTACAGGAAAAATCATTTGATACGTCAAATCATTAAGTATGACAATTTGAAAAAAAAAATATATGACAAATATTCAAATGATAATGTTTTGAGAAGGGCAGAGTTCAGTTGACTGGCTCAGAAGACCAGTTCTCTCAGGAATAGACTATTATCTCAGAATCAACCATGTTCGGTGTTGATCTCTCTTAACCAGAGTTAGTGGATGAAAGCAAGCCAGAAATGCCCTTTTAAATTATTATTAAAAAGTACCATTTGCATAGAAGTTGTTGAAATTAACTCCAAAATATTTGAAATTTGGCAATTTCATTCCCATTTCCGGACATCTTAGGTGTTATATCTTTAAAATTTACCACAACCATGGTGGGTCTGAGGTGGGTAAGGACTCAAAATGCCCTTTTGTGAGAAATTAGACCAAAATGAAAGGATTGTTTACGCCATCAGTTTTTTATTTGATTTCTGTTATACTAGTATTACTAAATCTGATCTACAGATGCCAGAGCACAGATGAATACGAAAATTGCCACAATCTACTGTTCCGGCAAATAAAATTGATTAAAATATATAAAGGAATTAATTACAATATATAATTAGGTAATAAAATAATATAATAAAAATATATCAATTTCAAACACTAAGTAAATAAATAATTACATTTTGACATTAAAGACTCAAGTCACATTGCACCAAATTTTGATTAATTTGTAATATTTTTTTCCCTTGTAGTTGTTGCCAAAATGAATAAATTAACTAAAAAAATAAAAATCAAATATTTTGTGTGTGTTTGCTACGGTACTTACCCACCACTCTTTATCAGCTTCTCCAATAACTATGATGATCTCTCCATCATTAAATGTTAGCTCATCATCATAATCAGCCTGACAATCATACAGAGCTTTCACTCTCTTTTTCTGAGACTAAATCAATACGAAAACAAAAAACATCAGCTGTAAATCATATGACACAAAATGAAATTGTACAGCAATCTGACCTCTATTAATGTCAGGGACGATAACAAAATCTGATCAATCCTGTATAGTATATTATAAAATGAATATGTATTACTGAAAAATTGCAAAAAAAAACAAACCCCTAGCCAACCAAAGATGGGGGGAGAGGGGACCCTCAGGATTTAAATTCCCTTCTGAGGACTTAGAGGGTTATCCCTGATACTACCCCCTACCACTGTACAATGGGGTGAAATCAAAGAGTATAGAAGAGCAAGAGGTCCGAATGCCCTGATTTTCTATGCACGAAATGAAATGAAAATAAAATACTACCATGAGGCACCTTATTAGAATTAAAATAGAGTTCAAAATTTGAACATGCATTCTATAGACACAGTGCAATGTATTCAATACAATCAACTTTTACGTTCTTTTCTATTTCGTGGTAGAACTTTTTGAGATAGAATTCCATTTAAAAGGAACCCCAGCAGTATATACTCTGGTGAAATTCACTATATACATGCTAGAATGATTGAGCTCCAGGGGCTTGCTCTCCTTAAACCTACAGGAGCTCTACTCCTAGACCTCAAGATAGCATAGGTAATCCCCACCCCCACACCCTACAGTTCTGGAACCCTGGCAGTAGGATGCTCTAAATATTAAATGCATAATAATAATAATAGTGTAGTTTTATATAGCGCACATATCCATCTAATGTCAGATGCTCAGAGCGCTTGAAATGTGGACTAGGAACTCGACCAATGACTTTTTTCGCCCCTAAGGGTCCCTTCGTGTCTGTGCTACCCGCTAACCCGGTACCAGCAACTCTCGTCGTCCACCACAGGGACTGTCTGTTCCAGTACACCAGGGTAACCCCTACTCGTCTCGAAGGATGTACAGGGTTCTTTTTAGTGCACACGAGCCATTGTATACACTGGGCCTACGGTTTATAGTCCTTATCCGAGAAGATTTGTTCTACCACCAGAACCATAGGCGAGCGTGCCGGTCGAACCTGCGCCGATATTATGGCTATAGCTTGCGGCGTCCCTGCTAAACGCTCGGCCATTCGACTCACCAAATGCATGCTTAAGATTTCAAAATTAACTTGTGCGATTCAGTGTCTCTTTTGATCTATCATTTCAAACTTATAATACACTGCAGTGGTAACATTATGCAGGTGTTTTATGTAACAAACACTTTTATTTATTGTCATGGTCATCTTTAGAAAAGAAAAACAGATGTTGCTAAAAGCTGGTGATATCAATTGCAGTAACTGCATTAAGGTAATTGGAATCGGTGCAGTTACTGCTAATAATATTATGCTCTTCGTATCAGTTATTATATACTTTCCCAATAACATGTCAGAATTATTTTCAAACCTGAGTTAATCTTGTTCTGTATGCCTGTTTTTGGTTCTAGTTTAAAATGTTATCATCGTGAAGTCTTAATCTTTGATTGGCCTGATGTAAAGCATAACAATTATAAATGTTAATGCATAATAAATATTAATGTTAATTTCCTTAAATAAATGTCCATGATTTTTGTAAATATTGACATTTTAGCATTTAACTTGTTATTTACCTTTTAATATTATTGTTAAGTGTTATTTTTTCTAAATGTTCAGTAATGTGTCTCTTGTATGACTTGCATTTGTTTTTAATGAACATTGAGCTAGGTTTTTTGTATTCTTTTATATCTTTTCTGAATAAAGTGATTGTTGAGATCGAATGTGCTACATATAATTGTTACATAACCTATGATGTGAGCTCTTTGACTAATGGGCAAATTTTTTACTGGTTTCCTTTCCTATTAAATGAGGCTTGCCATTCCAAATCCAGCTTTAGTAACCAAAAAAGGAAACTTTTTTTATACCTAATTCTTCCATGTTTATACAGCCACATTCATATGCCAATTATTCAGTTTAACATATCAGTATGCTACTTTATTTGCCTGAAATTATTTGTGTTTCAGTATTCATTGTGTTCTTTGTGAAATATAAAACCTATAGGCCTATTGGGAAGCTTTGGGGATTAGGACCCATTAAATTGTGCTTAGGCGCAATTTTTTTTTTTTTGCACTTTGTTTCGAAAATTCTGCCGTCAAAGGAGGGCAGAAAAAATTAAAAATTTGTTTTCTTAATGGTTGCAAATGGTTTTGCCAAAAACATCTGGATGGAGGAGAAAATAAATATAACATTTTATTGTTGAATGTAAACAGTGTAGTAATGGGATGATTAAATGCTTTAAATTTATATAATTAGGAAGAAATATACGTGTCTTATTTTGAGGATTTCAATAAAAATATAAAAAATTATTTTTTCCCAAGTTTCCATTTTTTGCAGCAGTGGGTGTGCTAATTGGCCAAAAAGAACATTTTATTTTTAATTAAAATCATTGGCAGGTGGCGGGTCTCACCTTAATTAATAGCAAAGCTGGCATACCACCAAATCGCACAATAACGGCAAACAAATGATGCTACAAGAAACCCTATTTCCTTTAATGTTATACTGTCTGGGGAAGATCCAGAATTTTCCAAACAGGGGACACAACATTTTCAGAATCGATAAGTGACTATCGCTTATTTCAATACATAACATTGATATGCATAGAAATTTAAAAAAATTTTAATCCATGGATCCGGGCCTGATTGTACTTGATATCGTTGAGTCTAATATCAAAATTTATCCAATTGTCCCTTTAATGATTGAATGGAGTCATTGTGGTTTTGTTGTGTAATTCAAGCTAATTATAAAATTATAGTGAAAATAAACACAATGTGAAATGAACATGCATTTCTAGTAAGAAATACTGAAGTCAATTTCCCTTACAATTAGTTAAAAGTGCATTCCACGTGCATAGTTCAGTTTCTATTGTGATTTAAATAAGGTTACAGTCAGCCTTATATACTGTCATGAGTCGCTTAGCAATATTGCTAGTTAAGTACTATATGCTAAAACCATATAAAATTCTGAAGCTTGTATCCAATCAATTTAAATGTATTTTATTGCATACTGCCAGTTTATAATAATGTTCTTAATAATAATAATAATAATAATAATAATAATAATAATAATAATAATAATAATAGTTGGATTTATATAGTGCTTTACACCAGTCTCAAAGTGCTCAAAGCATGAACTAGATTGCACGGTAACTTTATAATAGTTGAAAGGTGTCCTCGTGTCTGAGCTACTGACGTCTATCCACACCACGGCTGTATGGACCAGTACACTGAGGTAACCCTCTACTCATCTCGAAAGATGTACTGGGTTCACATGAGCCAATTTTGGACACTGGGTCTACAGTTTATAGTCCTCATCCGAGAAGATTTCTTACACCTCCAGAACCATAGGCAAGCGTGCTGTTTGGAACAGCGCCGATATTATGGCTATAGGTTGTAATGGCCCTGCCTTAACTGCTCGGCTATTCAACTCACTCATTATTTTATTTATTTTATTTCATCAATATTTTGTGAGGATGAGTCCATCCAGCCAGACATGATCAATTGGGACCCTCTAATGTTAAACGCAAAAATAAAGGGGCTATATTCACATGGGAATTGTTTTTGTGTCCTCACTTATAGTCCATGTTATAATAAGCACTCCTCTGGCCACACTAAGTGCTCTAATTGAAAACTTGGGCATTTTGCGTGGGAGGGTATTGAGGAGGAGCACTAATTTGATAGTTTGCCACTTGTTTTGAAAATGTACATTTAGTGTTTAGTCGTAAGTGCTTCTTTTAATTAACTTCAAAAGGTCAAGACCAAAAAAGAACTTAACAGCAACTGATTATAAGATGTTTCATCTTGGTGATTCAAGTCAGAAACATGGAGTTACTATTGAGATCACTCAAAAAAGCTCCACGCACACAGCGCTATGCAAATGAGCCAAGGACAAAGCTGCCGCAGCGTGTGAGAAATGTTTACCCGATGCCTTTAAAGTCTAATGTGTTCCCCGCTACCAAATGGTCAGCAGGCTTTAGTTTACTAAAAAATTGAACATGACAAAATGGAGAGCACCTTCTTTTCTCAATGGAACTACTTACAGTCAATCACTATGGCTGCGCAATTGTTTTCACCTTGAAGCTAATACATTTATCTTTCAAGAAATACTAAATATATTAATATTTTCTACAAAAAGAGATTCAAATTTAACGAAATATTTACATGAGCTTTAAAAGTACAATATATTTCAACTTGAATTTCCATAAATTGAATAAAACTTGATAATTATAATTTTAACAGATATTAATTAAGAAATGATTGTGGATTACAATAAACTAAGCCACTTTAGGGTTAACGATAATTAACTATTCGAAAATTCAAACCAAAATCAGAGTAATTTTTAGTTTTACGCTGCCTCAGCTTTATAGTCGAAGTAGCCAATCTTTAGACAAAACTATACTGAACACAGAACAAATTGCAACAGAATTATTGTTTGGAATTTGATCCTGAAATATACCCATAATAACATAATAAAAGTCTGAAAAAATCTAATCAGGGGAACATAGTTAAATTTAAAGATATTAAATGGGTTAAAATCAAACGGTTTATTGCACAACTGCTGTGTTAAAGCATATAAAAGCCTGCTGTTGCCCAGATGTTGCTAACGATAAAAATGTTGGTTTATCGCGGCAAAGGGATCTGTTGCCAAGTGATCTCCTTCTCAATAATACCTCCATGGTCAGAATATCACAAATCAGAAACCAGAGATCAGAACAAGTATATAAAAAATAATTAAGAAAAATATTCAGAAAAAAAAGAAGACTTTTTAGGAATAGAACCCAGAACCCCTGTGACTGTAAAATGAGCACCTGAACAAAACAATCATAATATTCTTAAATTTGTCTTCATGCTGTATTATAGCTCACATAGATGAGATCGCAGGTTTCTCACAGAAATAAAAGGGTTGGAAACTAATTATGACAGAACCACTTTAACTGAGGTTAGTGAATGAAATACATCCAAACTCATTTAATGATGCGTAACCAATGTTGCCATAGCAACTATTATCAACTTTACAATCAAATTTTGCATTTGATTAAAGAATAACACTTTATATTTAGCTACTGTATATGTAGTGTAGGGCATTACAGAAAATCATTTTTAGGGATCGGAGATTAAGAAGGATGTCAGTTTTCCGTCACATTAAATTAGTTGGTTGGTTGGTTTTTGTTTGAAATTATTCATGTTGGTAGCTGTAAATGGAGCTTACATATACATAACATAATTACAGTCAAGATACAATCGCAATACATTAGATACTGTATCTGCAATCTAATCTATGACATAAATATTAATATCAGACATAGAATATCCAACAAATATATATTTCAGATACAAAATATCTGCCATAAATATGTTCATCTGACACACAATATATAACAAATATTTTTGTCTGTCATACAATATCTGACATAAATATAAACATTGATTTAATATTAGTTAACTTTTGATACAAAATGATCAATTCACTAAGGCAAGACAGTGAATCATACACCATAAAACCTTGAATAGAAGCCCAATGGGCTTTATCTTGAGAAGCCCATCTCAAATTGAAGCCCCCCTCTCTAGATTGCAAAAGTAGCCTCTAAAATAAGCTCTCGAAAAGAAGCCCATGGGCTTCTCTTTAAGATAGTACATACACTGTACACGAATTCCAAAGAAACTGTATAATTACAAACATGCTTTGTTTGTACAGTGGTTAGGTGATTTAGTGCCGGATAATACAAGCCATGATAAAGACTGATGTTTACAGTGGTCCTATTGATAGTTTAATAGTAGTTCCCAAAATTTCAGCATTCATTTTGAAAAGAAGCCCTCTCTTTACTTTGTAAAAGTTGCCTCGAAAATAAGCCCTTTTTACAAAAGAAGGCCATCTCAAAAAGAAGCCCATCCAAAGGTCGCAAAAAAAATTTTCTATTCATGGTTTTACGGTATTGCAGAGCAATTCCAACGCATTCGGTTCATTCTAAACTGCAGTTGCGGTGAATATGTGCTCAGCTAAATACAACAGTGACACTTGTGTTTTACTTGAGTATATATATTGCTTACTTGTAGGTACATTTTAGGTGAAGGTCTATCTACGGTGACTTGTGGTTGGGGGCTAGGCGGTGGAGGACAGGACGGCCTTTGTAGCGTAGATTGTCGGTGTGTTGCTTGTGTTGGTATGGCAGGGGGTGCTACTGTTGGCCTTACTATTTCTTCCTGTTCTGACACTGAGCCTTGTCTCGATACAGATTTACTGGTCACTTGAGGGAGATTTTCTGCTGACTTGGAAAAATCCCTGGGTGGTACTATTGTAGAGGATGCAAAAAGATATCAGTCAGCATAAATTAGCATAGAGCATTGATTTAAACAATTTTATATTCAATTAAGCAAATCAATTAAATAAATAGCAATAATAATAAATCAACAATTGTAAAAATTAAATTCCCATAACCATTAATTAACAATAATAATGAAAATAATATTGCTTTATACCATTAAAATAAATCTAACACAAATCATTACAATAACCAACACCAGCACAAGGTGATTGGGACATTTCTTAGCAAAAAATATCATGTCTGGTGCATCCAGACCTGGCCACCCTAAAAAATTTTCTTTAAAAAAAAATTGGAAAAACATTCAAATATATTGTGTAAAAGTGCTATTTCCAGCCATCCAGAGATGCCAAAAAAATGTTTTATTCAACCCCAACTATAGTGGGAATGGGGTGGTCTGGACCCTCATCCATAAAACTCCCTCATCTGGCCCCGTCTATTTCAAATTCCTGAATCTGCCACTATGTTTTCCCTTTGCTTTTTTTCAGGACTAGCGAAGGCATGTGTAACTTATTCAAGAGATAAACAAGTCTAAACCAGTTGCCCCTAGTGTCAAATATTCTCAAAAAGCTAGGTTAGGCTTACTGCACCAGGGGGTCCCAATTTGAAGAAAAGGTCACTTTTGGCAGATCTGTTTAACTGAGCACATTTAATTGTATTTTGCTGTGAGTGGTGATACCCATTAACTCTGAATTCCATGAGACAATTGGTCATAGAGTATAATACAAACAAATATGCAAATAATATGAAATTATAGGAGATGGGTGCTTTTCCGGGAGATTCTTGCTTGCGTAAGTGTGCTGGAGCTGTTCCGATTTCCGGGAAACTCACACAACTTGAGGGAGACTTGCGCAGCTTTCGGGACATTTGGGATCCCTGTACCCATAACTTTTACTATAGTGCTGTGCTAATTTTTAGACACTTATTATTTTGTACTACTATTAAAAACATACTAATATGCCTACTGTGTAACATGTGTAGTTTTACTTCTATATATTATTTACACTAAGAGTGCAAAAAAGTTGTAATGTAATATAGATCTGTGATAACATTAGATCAGTGTAAAATATTAGATCTGTGAAATAAAAATTAAACATTAAATCTACTATTTAAAAAAAAGCCAAAACAAAAAACTGGTAAAAAAAAAAATAATAAAAATGTGATTGTGGAATACTTTCTCATTCTAAACAAATACAAAGTTTGTTGAACCTCAAAATTGTTATTTAACTAAGCAGGCTTTTGTTTCAGAGTTGTTACTTACTAATTGGTGGTCTACCGTGCAGACTGGCGGGACGGCCATGCGAAATACCTGATGGCTTTGGCGCTAACGGTGGTGGCATTGAATCATCTTTTTCTAACTTTCCTGTTAGGTCAAAGGGTATAAATAAAAGTGCATGCAGTCAGCAAAAAATAAAAACTGGGTTAGTGAGCTTGTTTAGATCTGAAGATCGTTCACAGAATATTCAACTATCATATACACACACACACACGTAGACACACACCCACATAATTTGTAACTTCATCCTCCCCAACAGCTGACAGACGCCTACACACATACATGCGCACATAAATTACTCACAAACATGCAACATACAATAAATATACTGTATCTATTTCCGAGTGAAAATTTAGACCAAAATTATCTTCTTCTGAAAACATTAATTACGGTTTACTAATGAGATTGTAATTTACTTGAAATGTATTTTAATCTTATATAATAGTAAATATTTAACTTTATTTATACATAATTAATTCAAGGCTAAAACAAGTTTGTGGTTTTTTAAATATATAATTTTGATATATATTGATTGATGCCAAAGATTACATTTATAATTAACATGAAAATGAATTATTCAAGTTAGTCTATGAATTTTATTAGTATATACATTTTTTTTTTGCTATATTATCATTTAAATACTTTTAATAAGAACTTCTTTTAATTGTTTATTATTATAATAATGTGTAAATGTTGTTGCATAAATGTAAATTGATTAACAAAATTAATTAAACTTTAAGTGCTTTTCAAAATCATTTAATTGTTTTATTTTGATCGTTTATTATATAAACTATAGGCGTAATTTGTTTAAGCAAATTTCATATGTATTTTATTTTTTTATTTAATATGAATCTTCAACATTTATTGATACTTGCTCCTATTTTGGTACAAACATAACAGGGGAGGGAGAGGAGGGGAGGGGATTTGTGCATGGCATGCAAATGTGCTGTTTAGACAGCACTGATGGTACCTTGCATCCTAAAATACATCGACGTATGCACCTGGAAAGTGGCGGAGAATCTTTGACGATGTGTGGAAACTTGCCTAGTAACCATTCCTTTAATAAGAAATAAAGTCTGCATACTTGGCAGTGCCTTCGGCTTACTAAATTGGGACATTCGCAAAGCCAGAGGCCCAGCAAACTGAGGTGCCTTAGGCTTGCTAAGTCAAGCCACTTAGGCTTACAAGTTAAGCCACTTTGGCTTACAAGCTAAGCCAATTTAGACTTTACAGAACTTGGGCTGCACATAGGCAGTGCCTAAGGCATACACACTGAGGTGAAGTGTAGGCAGTGCTTAATCTTATCAATTTGGAAAGAAAGATAGGCAGTGCCTAGGCTCACCCGAACTACGATGTCATTGGTGGTGTTATGATGTTACTACTGAGCACTAGTAATAATAGTATATTATCTAACCATTCAAATATGATTTTTTTAAAATATTAATTTCATTATCATGATTTGCAAACTACAACAGACATTATCACTGTCACCCCTAACATCATCATAACAACCACAAGATATTCTCATCCTCACAACAAACTTAACTACGGACTTCAAGGTTTTACATCACTATGACAACCACAAACACTAACACATCATCCTAACTCTACATAACATACTGAGATTGTTTAATGAATGGTTGCTGTTTCAACCTCTCAACCTTAAGGTTAGGGGGTTCAAATTTCCAAATGTTTATTTAGAATTAACTGTGTTTTTCCACTCAGGATCAAATTTCTGTCTTTATTTTGATGTATGTTTTTAGATTAAGTTTTAAGGGGGAAAGCAATTATTAGCCACTAGTCATGACGACGACGTGGCTATCTGGCCTCCCCAGGTTGTTTATCAAATTTTCATAAATAAATAAATGAAATAAATAAATAAATAAATAGGTATCCAATATTTTTTGTATAAGAATGTATAATGCATACTCCAAACAAAAAATTACATGCCATCATGTTGGGAATCAATACTTCAATTCTCTACAGGCTCATCTTCATTAATTATTCATTATACTGTAGTTTCTCATCTGAAAGTAATCAGTGGACCCTATGATTTCATGTTTTGATAATATACTGTACATACATTCTTTTATTCGCCACCACTAATATCATTATCATCATCCTTAATTCATTAATACCACTACCAATTCCAACATATATACTACCAATATCATCAACATCACTGACACACAAAATATATCTATTACCCAGTGGCGTATCTAGAATTCTTGAAATGGGGGTGCTGATACGGGGGAGCGTGAAGGTGAATTGGGGAGCTTGATGATCAGTCGAGGGGCGCTGGGGGGGGGGGAACTAGTGACTGGGGGGGGGGGGGACGCGAGTAATTATCGGAGGGGCGTGCGCCCCTCTAGATGCGCCACTGTTACCACCACTATCAATGTCACCATTTCCACTATCACCCTTCTCACTACTGCCAACCTTGCCACCAACTTCACAACTAACTGAAATCAAAAATACAAACTGACCACATATCACAATGGTTCAAACAAAAGCCATTCAAAAAAATGACATGAGAAATGACACCAATCCATGAGTGTGATTGTGAAGTTACAAATAACTTATGTTAGAGCAAAGTTAAATGGGTGACAAGATAATGCATCGTCTTCATCACGAAAAGCAGAAATGGAAACGTGAATTAAAGCATGAAATGAACGGTCAGTGATGAAAACAACCAAGTTATGAATGTGAAAATATGATATTCATTTTTATAAGAAAGTGCAGCGGTATGTGAAGAATATATCGTATTTGTGCAGTAAATATAATAACACATTTATTTATAAAAAAGCACATTTGGAACGCCAGACACTCGCCTGAGTGGTTGAATTGCCAAAACTTGTACAGGTAATGAATTTTGTGCTTTTCTTAAAAAAAACAAAAAAACAAATGTTCTTTTAAATATTAAATTTTTTTTAAATCTTGTTTTTTAATTTTATGTTTTTAATCCTTGTTGTTCCTTTGTGTTCTTGATAAAGCCATGACCTGGGATGTATGTTTCATTCCTTTTATTGTTTTGAATAAAGAATGGTTTGATTCATTTGTACATGTGTAGGTCAAAGTTCAAGACATATTCAAATCATCTAGCCTTAAGGCTCTGTCCATACCTTCAATTTTTGAGTGCCAAATACCTGAAACTTTGCTCATACATGAATGTATATTTGTCATAGAAAATTTGATAGTGTGGACATAATTAAATAACATTTAGGAACAGAAATAATATTACACATGTTCATTACATAAATGCTTTGTGATAGGCTAGATTATTTGTTGCCTTGACCTTCGACATAATCACACACAAGTAATACAAGATGGCTTAATGAAAGCAGCTTATCTGATCTTGTAATGGTCAGAAGATTAACTTAATCTCCAATCTCTGCATGGAATAATAATAATAACAGATAATACTCTAGAGGTTTGCTGGGATGTCTATGGTGTAAATAGGGCAGTGGGAAGGGTTATATAATAATCGGCAAGGGTACAGTAAAAGCCAAAGAATAGCTAATGGTCACTATCCGAACATTATATACTTCTTAAGCTCGTCCACGCTATCAAATTATAAGTGACAAATTTATGCGAGTGCCCATATATGGGCGTGATGATATCATATTACACCCAAATATGGGTCTATCTTTGAGTGGATAGAGCATTATATCTTTTTTTTTCATTACTGGGAATAAAGAATTAAAAAAATAATAGTGACCCGATTAAGAGTTAAACCGAAAACATGAGCAATACATTTATATATCTATTACTGTTTTATCATTACAGTTTAAAGTTGAAATGAGTATTTATTTAAAATTGTAGCATATTATTTTGTAGAAGAGATATTTAAAAATGAGTTTATTCTTTCTCTTTTATCCCTACATAATTTCAGAAATGTTCTTGCACTTCAAGTCTAATTTATATCTTAATATTCATACAGTTTATGGTCCTAATTAAACAGTAGCAAATAACATGCTACATGATTGACATAACTGCTACAAACTAAAGTCTAATTAAGATGAACAGTAAAGGGAAAAAATATTCCTTGAATTACAGGGATTGAAACCACAACCTTAGGATTGTAAGGCGGGTGCTTAACAACTACGCCACAACTTACTAAATGTTGAGAAGTTGATAGCACTAAGGTCATATACTAAAGGTTACCTGACATTTGACAATAACCCAGTTACGCGCACATGTTTACATGACAATTTCAGCAGCCGTAATTTATAAACTCTGATGACAGAATCTATGACGTTTGATAGATGATTGATTAGATAAGTGCAGATTGTTTACCTATGTTAAGTGAATCAGGTAAAATACATGCATACCTGCTACGGATGACCCCCGTACTGGGGGAACAGGAAGAACCTGGTTAAGAAATGTATCGGATGTTGTTCGTTTATGGCCGTTGGGGGCAAGGGGGGCAGTGAGTTTCTTCTTATGTACTGGTGCTGCTGGAGAAATGAATATTAGTTGTTAAGAGATTTGACAGTCATGCAGTGGGTAGCAGTGACATGCAGACACGTAGCTTGTCATCAGCATTAATGTAGCAAAGGTGTTTCATCTCAGGCACAGCTGTGCAAAGTAAATCACAAGCCTTGCATATTGTTAGTTTAAAGGAAGGAATATCTCCAGTAAAATTAAACATGTTTTCAGATAATGATTATTAATATTGTGTTAATCAGAAACACATTTTGTTGGACGTTACTCCATTTAATGAACTGTTACATATCACAATTAATAAAAAAAAAAAAACCTAATTATGATCATATTACAACACAAATTGTGTGAATTATTACTAATAATAATAATAACAATACCAATAACAACAATAACAATAACAATAACAATAATAATAATAACAATAATAATAAAATAAATTCCATATAAAAATTAGTTAAACTTTAAAAATTCTTTTTAAAACCAAATATGGCATTATCATTGTTTTTTAATCATTTAGATTATTTTTACACTTACACATTAACACACATTTATGTTCATTACCACTATCAAAAATATTTCATGAAACTAAATTGATTACCATAACAAGGTTTTAATAAGCAATACATAATAAAAACAAAATAATAAATACTTATGGTAAAACAATTGAGTGGCTACTAGACAAAATGAATTTACAAGCAATAAATATCACTCTCAAGACTAATATTATAGATATTTTTGTGCAAGGATGTAAAGGATGTGCAAAGTGTTCAAAAAATACAGGGATAAAAAAGACCGTTGATTCATAGTGATTACCAAAAGATGAAAAAATTGGACTGTAATTTGTAGCACGCAGCAAGTCTTGGTGAAAAAAAGAGAGAGGTTAGAAGATTTCTTGTAAATTATTAGTTGGATATTTTTTGTTCAGGCATTTATGATGTGCAAAATGCCATGCAACCAATTTAGTCCCAAGTCTACTATATCTTGTATATTAATTTTGCATTCGTATATAATTACATTAATAAAAAAAAAAGCTGTGAAGATAGGAAAATTCATGTGAATGAGGTAAAACATGTGATGATATATTTTTAATAATCAATCTAATAATTATTAAAGGTTAGGAACAAAAAACATATTCAGGAAAGGCTGGTTATCCACATGAACTATACTTACTACCGGGGAAACATACACATTTTGGAAACACAGCAAGCATAATATAAACTATGTTAACATTCACTACATATTAGCAATTATAAACTTGTGATAAATATAATGAACTGATTATTTTTAAAATAACAAAATAGCTGCCAAAGATAATTGATGAAACGTGAAGGTTATTAAAAATTAGGCGTGGTATAAAACAGAGAATTAAATGTGGTATACCATTGTTTATTTAGTGTGTAATATTAAGGTGTGTTATAAAAAAAAATAAGTGTGATATATCATTATTTATAACCGATGGTGTCTATCATTAAGCTTAAGGCAGGGTAATCCTGGTGTTCCTTACTTCTTCGTGGAGGGATTGGTGGAGCATGGGTCGGTCTGGTCAGTACGAAGGCATCTCCATCAGTGCCATCTGACCCAGAACGTTCCCGTCTTTCTGTCGAATGTCTTTGATGAATACGTGGACTGATCGGTGCTCCTGGCATGACACTGTTCGGTCGTCGTCTCGATGGAGTCTAAATTGAAATCATATGAATTATTAAGTTATAAACTGGATTTATGCAAGACAAATAAATATTATATAATGTTGTTTTATTATAAGAAAAAACAAAGAGATTATGATATAAGCAGGTGGGAACCTTTAGCCAGCCTACCTATGGCCACACACCTCTGTCCAAAAAATGGTTGTATGCCCATATATAGTCATGATGTGCCTATATACTGTACTGTAGGTTCTTGACGTGATGTCATCATGATTAAATTTATACATTTGGGAGTCTGGAGAAGGGAGGGCTATAAGCTGAAGAATCTTTAGTACAGTATGTTAAATGTGTGGCAGCACACACGATAAAAAAGAAGTCGGTGTATAAAAAGACACGTATTACATAACATCAAAATTTGGCTTAATAAAAATGAGAAAACTTACCCTATTATCATCCAGTTCATCATCACTGAAGTCTACTGCATCATTCCCGTTGGCAGTTGAAAGACACCACTCTATGTCAACATTCTCACACTGGCTGAATTTTTCCTCTGCCGCCTGCTCCAGTAACTCTTTACACTCCCAGAAATGGAACCTCTTGACAAGATCTAGAGCAGTTTCTCCTGAATCATTCACTAGTAGAAGAAATGAGCAATTGATGTTAATTACAACATCTACAGTTTATATGGACATTTCAACTCCACTGGGATGGCAATGGTGTCATTGGCAGTTACTGCCATTTCCCTTTGATTTTTTTTTTGAGAGTGTGGAAAACAACTCATGCCATAAAAGGTTGCAGTCATTTCTCTTTGTTTTTGAACAGCAAAAAATATATTTGATGTAAAAAAAGGCTGAGATTTTCAAGATTTTGGGTTGGTTGTACTTAAGGTAACTGAGAGTTTGATGGGGTTTTTTTTTTACCTTATTTAACTTTTTCTTTTCAATACTACCAGCTCACTAAAATGCATATTAATAAAAGTGTAATGAACTTTGTGATTATACCAGTAACAGTTCATATGTGTTGTGTAACATTAATTGAGATAATGTTTGGGGCCAAAAGAAGCATTGACTGAGAGATTAGCAAAACTAATGCATTATTTAAAGTCAAACTTATATGACATTCTAGTGCCCAAAGGTAACACTTTAATCTATGCTACCCCTTCATAGTCAAAATAACTCTTTGACATTTGCTGTATACAAACAGGATCACTACTGAAATAAGAGAAACAGCTGAGACTGTTAAGAATTTAATAGATGCTTCCTTAATATTTGGTTTAAACACCATCCCAAACATACCCATATCTCATTTAACAAATTTATCTCTAAGAAAAGGAGAACATGGTTCTGGTGAATGGAGCAAAAAGGCCACAGTGTGAGTAAGGAATACCCACAATAAGTATTCTATTCTATAAGTAGCACTGTGGATTAGCTATGAAAACAGAAGACATAAACAAATTTATAAACATTTTTAATAAATAATTAGAATAATTCTTTACAGTACTGCATATATTGATCTATCAAAACTTTAAGACTATGTTGGGGCACAGCAGAATAATTAATGATTAATAGTTAAGTAGATACCTACACATTAATTAAAGACAACAGAGTGAATATTTACCGAGTACAATTAATTATGCTGGTACTGAGTGTTGTCATAGCTGACATTCCAATAAGATTTCAACAGGTCAAGAATCAGAAAGTATCAAACATATTATACTTGTCTATTACGTTGAAAAGGATGTGATTAATGTCATTACCAGTGTCAAAACAAAGGACAAATGCATAGAAATGTGATTACAAATCACAGAGAGGTCTAAAGTTCAAACTAATAGCCATCAGAAGTAAAAAAAACCCTGAGAAAGGTCTAACGTTCAAATCCATAGATGTCTAAAGTGCAAACACATAGACCTTCAGTACAAATCACCAGAAATCTAATACATATCATTATTATAATATAAACTTTATTGTGATATTACTCACACCAAAGTGACATGAAATTTAGTTTCTTAATGTACTGACACTGTTGACAAAGAGATATAAATCTAAAAATAATATATAAAATGAAATTGGTCTAATTGGTTTCAATGACATGTATGAAGATCTAAAGCATAAATGGTTGAAAGTACACATAGAGAGGTCTAAAGTAACCAGACTTTAAATACATGTAGAGAGGCCTAAAGTATAGATGGGTTTTAAGTACATGTAGAGAAGTCTAAAGTATAGATAGATGGATTTAAAGTACATGTGAGAGGTCTAAAGTACAGTAACCAGATTTTCAGTACATGTAGAGAGGTCTAAAGTATATATAAATGGGCATTAGGTACATATAGAGAGGTCTAAAGTATAGTTGGGTTTTAAGTACATGTAGTAAGGTCTATAGATCGATTTCAAGTAAATGTACAGAGGTCTAAAGTAACCAGATTTTCAGTACATGTAGAGAGGTCTAAAGTATAGATGCAGTTCGAGCACATGTAGAGAGGTCTAAAACACAGAAGGGTTTCAAGTACATGTTTAAACCTGTCTAAAGTGTAGATAGATGGATTTAAATGAAATTTAGAGAGGTCTAGACTAACCAGAATTGCAGTACACGTAGAGAGGTCTAAATTATAAATAGGTTTTAAGTACATCCAGTGAGGTCTAAATTATGGATGGGTTTCAAGTACAGTACATGTACAGGTCTAAGGTACTCACCAGCAGTAATGTTACCCTTTCCTTTCAATATCACCTTCATACTTTCTTGTTTATCCTGTATTGCACATAGATGTAATGGAGTGTTGCCATCGCGGGTCTTCACATCCAAATTGCGAGAATTTTGAACGATGAAATCAACAATATGCAAATTCCGCTTCCCTTGCTTTTCTACAGCTAAATGCAGAGCAGTTTTTTGCTTCAACTAGATTCATAATAAACAAAAATTATAAAATTATTAACAAGTACCTTGAAGTTTAATTGCAGATAATGCAAGTCTTACAAATTTGGGAATAAAATAATCTACAGTTTGATTAAAACATTAACGAGCTCAATAAAAATTACAAAGTCAAACAATTCAGTTTTTTTTTAATTAAAAAAATTTTCCACTACCAAAATGGTTGCAATAGATTACCAGCCAATATAATGAGCCTACCGATACGATATGTAAAGAATATAAAAAAAAACGTGTTTTTTTTCTGTCTGTTATTAGCAAGAAAATATTCTCTTGTTTTCATTTTCAATTGGTGTTTGCCTCTCAAGACAGACAGAATATCTTAACACAATCTTTGGAGAGATGATAAAAAATCATGAATATTTTGCAAACCTGATCTGTGATAGCGGATGCGAGGTCCACTCCATCAGTAAATACACGTAATAGCAGTGACATGTCAGATGTTGTAACCGCTTTTTTTATATCTTGCATACTCTCAGATTGACTACTTGACACTTTCAAAGCATATTTATGATCAATATACTTTGCTTGGATGAAATTCTTCCTAACCTCCCTGTTAAATAAATGAGAAAAAATCTTTAAAAACAAATTTTAAAAAATGATATTTTAAAATATGTTAGTGAAATATGAAAAATAATGGACAAGAAAGAGAAGTAACTTACATTGTACTAGCTTTTGTGGGTTTCATGTCCAGCTGCAGCGAACCTTCGAATACCTCATTAAATGTGGCGTTTCCCATATTCCGTGCAATAACCAGTTGTGCAGTTGTTAACCTATCTAATTCTAGAGACTGGACTCTGGATATATGAACTCCCATCTCACGATGAATTCCAGAACATTCTATGCACGTCAATATTCCTAAATTTGTTGAAAGCCACTTAGGGTCTGAAAAAACATCAAAAAGACAATTAAGTTTCCAACTTAGCAATACTCTTGGTAATCTATTTTAAGGTTGGCTATTGCATGGCTACATAATGAGTTTGTTGTACTATGTGTTCGGCTTATTAAAATTCATGTTTGTTACAGTATAAATGTAAAAGATAAACATAACAGATATCAAGCATTGATTTTTAAATAGCCACCCCCAGAATCTGTCATTTTTCCTATCTACTAGTACTTTACTGATAAGTCAGATTTTTGAATTGTGTAATTGTGATGCACTATTTGGGTTTTCTTGTAGAATGCAATAAGGAAAATATTAAATAAATGTTTTTAAGCATTTAATCATGAGGATGTCACTGACCTTCAGAATTACAATCGCAGCATGTATTGTTCCCATTTAATTTTGTGATTTCGGTTACAATATTCTGTGTTAGCTCTTGTAGGCTGTTCTTTTTGGTGTCACCATCAAAGACTACTTCCAGAGCATTTTTTTTACTGTTGTTTAAGACTGAAATCCATTCAGTTGCCTCTTCCTCGGTTTCTGCCATGAAGTGGTAAGTCCTGTCCCCTGTAATTAGTTAAAATAACTCAGTTGATCCTATGTTGCGTGTTTAGACAATTTAGACTGGGTCCAGTGGCAACACCAGCAGGGATCCAGAGGGCCACTGGACTCCCATTGAAGAACCCTGGAACCACCATCAGAGACCAATCATTTTGTTGAGAAACACTGCCCTGACAAAGCAGTTTTAGTCTGAGAGTGCCATTTCCGGCATATGCCTAACCTTAAAATTCAGGACCTTGGACCCCTTGTTGAGAAATCTCTGACGACACTGCTGGCTGGGCCCCTATTAACCATCACCACCCTAGAGGTAAAAACCATCTCCTTACACAGGGATATAATTCCCTGTGCTTTTCTGAGTGTATTGCTTTTTCTAATGAACACATAAGCCACACCTTTTCTAAAGGTTGAAGCACTATAACATGTATTTCATAGAGAAAACAACTTAATGGAATAGTACCCAGTAACAATGATTCTCTGGTTTAGCAAACAGACAGTGGTTTAGCCACTAGTCATAACTAACTTCACTATGCTTCTGATATTTTTCCCATTAATTACACAATAAATAAACAACAAAAATATACATGATTGTTTGATTACTATATAAGAATATAACAACACAACTTTAACATTAAATTTAAAGGTTATCATCATTGTCATCATTATTAGCCCATGTCAATCTAATCATTGCAGAATGAAGGCCTCTTCAAGATAATGTCACAAAAGTCTATTGGCAAATTCCTCAATCAGATCAAACATAATAACCTAATTCATAGGTAAACCATTCTCATAATATGGACTTATAAGGTAGTACATTTGATAGGCCAAACTCTCTTAACATCTCAAGTTGTGAAGATAATTTGAAATTCCTAAACTAGAAAAACTTAAGATGGTTTAAGTACTTCTTAGTGACAGAGTTCATGAACGATGAGAAGGCTGACTTATTTCTTAACAAAAGGCAACATTCTTCTCAGTGCCATCTTCCAAGGTTTTTTTGATTAATACCTATATCAGTTTAGAACTATTTTAACATACACACTGCTTCAAAAATTTATTTAAAGAAAAACTGGACCCTAAAAATTGAAAATAAAAAACCTCATAAAGGCACCTTGTTCTGGAGCAGCTTCAAGTCTAAAAAAAAAATTACCCTTAAAATATGTCAAGTTCTCCCTCTAATTAAAGACCCCTCTAATTAAATACCACTTTTCTGGGGTTCCAAATTAACAAATGTATTCTATCTTTATTATTCAAATTAGAGACCAAAGCTGCTAAAGAACATAGAAACCCTGATCCTAAAAGTGGTGTCTACTTGGAGGAAGACCTCTATTCAGACTTACGTGCAACCAGATCGAAATATTTCTTGCTGGCTTCCTCCTTGGAGGGTTTTACTTGGCACGTGAGCAGATTAAGCTTCACTGGATCTTTAGTACTTGTTGAGTGTGCTATGCTTAAGTAACCATCCTTCACTATGCATCTGCGTTTCTGGTAAAGTCGCATTCCTTTCTCGGCTTTCTTGTGGAGGAACCCATCCTTAGTGGTACCGTGAGAGACGTCAGTCTCCAATTGATGTAAGGCATACCCTTGTTGTGGCTAGAATCAAATCAAACCAATAAAATTATTAAATACAATTTTCTGTGCTACATCATGTAAATTGCCACAGTATGGAGAGCCCAGAATGTGTGTTCACATTCAATAGAAATGAAAGTGATGATTGTGGATTAATTAGCATTATGTTAGCATCATGAAATCAACACCAACGTGCTGAATAATGATGCAATAACCTTATTCGTGGTTTTAACTGCGCATGCCAATCGACATAAACCTATGTTGTGTGTATATTTGTTTATGTCCATTGACCTTGAAATGGGCATGAGCAGTTAAAACTATGAATTGATTTATATTATGGTGTATTCCATTGCCGTTTGTTGCAAAGATTGAGGTTATAATACAATATGTCTGTGCATAGAGGTTATGACAAAATGCGCATTATAATTATACCGCATTCCAATTTTCAAATCAAAATTATATGCTTAATGACTCACATCTCTGCCTAATGATGTAGTTAATGACCCTTTAAGCAATGTTCGTAGGCTCTGCAGATTCCTCTTTTCTTCATCCTGTTCCGTCTTAATTTTCTGAACTTGCGATGAGAGCGTTTCCATGTAATTACGAAACGTTTCCACCGTCTTTGAGCCTTCTTGATAGAAACTGTCAAGGAATTTTGTTGTCGTAAGTATTAAGTACATCACTTAATTTTATATGTTTCTACTAATTTAATAATGATGTAGTAATGATAATTATGATGACGATAAGATAATTACAATGACGATGACAGTGTGATGATGATATTGATGATGATGACGATGATCTTAATAATGACGATGATGAGGACAACACGGATGTGAGATCTTGATGTTGTGGTGATAATGAGAGGCAAATATCATGATGTCATCATGTGTTTGATGATGACAATGATGCAGTCGTGTTATGATGATGATAATGATGCTGCTGGTGTGATGTGATAATAATGATTATGATGTGATGATCATTGCATCTGAGACTGTTTACCAGTACAGATCTCCCTCAAATTAAGGACACCTCTTTTTGTGGTCCCATATCAACAAATGTCTTTTATCACTATTATTCTAATTAGAGACCAAAGTTCCTAAAGACCATGTAACCACCAACCTCTGAAGTGGTCTTTAATTGGAAGAAAACCTGTACTTAAGGTAGTACAACATATTGCTACCCTACATCTACTGGTTTCTACTTACTTGCTCTGGGCATGGAAGAACTCTACAAGGTGCTGTACTAGCTCAACACCCTTCTTAGCTTTGATTTCATTCACCTTAATTAAGTACTAAAAGAAAAAGTTTAATGTTTAATATTGTTTTACCTACAATATAATATTCCCAATATATTTTTAATTCAATAATTTTAAATCCATTATATTTGATAGTGAAATTAGTGTTTGGCATCTATTTTTACCCTCGGACAATGATAGTGGTCCCAATTTGTAAAAAAAATCCCTTCCAGGTGATATGGTTAAGTACGTTTTCTTAAACATATTTTATTTTATTTTGATGCGCATGATGATACCCATCGGCGCTGATTTCCGTGAGACAATTAATAATGAAGTAGTAAAGACATACAAATATTGTGAATTTGCGGGAGATGGATTATTTCCCGGGGGAAATCTTGCTTGCTTGTACGAGTGCGGGAGGCCATCCCGATTTCCAGGAGATTCCCGCTACTTCCAAGACCCCTGAAAATGCTAATTTAGAAACTATTTATTTAAGGTGTAAAAACACATCAAATTAAAATCAGATCCGCAATATGCTTAGCATTTAGACTTGTTGACTTTTAGCCAGTGAAGTTACTAAGAGTTTACAACAGGAAGCTACTTGTAGCACTACAAAATTAAATTTACATATTGATAAACAGTAAGTTCTGTAAAATGGAAAAAATAATTATGTGAAACGACAACCTTTTTTGTATAAGCTGTGTTCGTCGTACTTGGTACATAGGGCCTATTTATAACATGTATTGAGCTGATTTTCACATTACAATCAAGAAATATTTTGTGGCTGTTAACCTCACTTACACATAATGTCACGGCGAAACTACTGTTGCTCCTGGTAGACTTTGAGGTACCATACATTATTTAGCAAAACTTGCCTTTCTTAATGGTTAACCAGCATTTCTCACAAGTGTGAACTAGACGTTAGATTTGAATACATTTTGTTAAATTTATATCTTGTATTTTGTTTATAAAATTTACTTACTTCGCACATACAATGTTGGAACATTCTTCTTTCTTTTTCCATTTCTTCTGCTGTCTAAAAAAGTAAGTATACACAATTTATATACAAAAATACTGACAAGGATTTTTCAAATCCATGATTACTTGATAGAACTGAAACAATTTATCTTATAGTAGTAGAGCTAAATATTTACATTCAAATTAAATTAAGGTATTTCTGTAACGTTTAGTTCCAGTATTGATTCAAATTAACACCCCGGGGCATTTATTGTTGAGAATGGTTTTTGAGATGGCGTTCGTTCAAAGGAGTCATTTATTCTTATTCGAGGGAGGCGTGTAAAAAGGATACGTATATAATCAAATAAACGCCCCTTACTTTCACTGTATATATGAAACTACAACCCATAATACCGCCAAAAAGTGTTATTACATGATCATAAAAACTTATTAATCCCAAACAGGTCAGAAAAAAAGGAATTTTAGTCATTTGGCAGGGGGAGGGGGTCTTTTGTTTGAGCAAACAATGCCCTGGGGCTTTTATTCGAGGGAGACATTTATTCCAAATGCGGCTCTGGAGGGGGCATCTATTAAAAAAAAAATATGGTATATCAGTACAGTATTTAGGAAAGAGGAAGAAGGTGAGTAACAGTGTGCTAACATTTGGCAACCTGTTGGTCATTGTTGGAAATACTGATTATATACTTTGTTGTGCTGTATGTGCTATAAGATTTTTTTCACATGAAATAAAATAAATATTAAATATTTTAAAGTAAATAATTCTTAACGACATTGTGTGAAATAAGAAACTACTGTACGCAAAAGTACGATGTCAGATGTTCTCTCTAGTGCACAAGGCACTCAACAAACATCCATTATATTTATAAATATTTACTTTAAATTTGTTTTATTCTCAAATGAAACTGAATTATCAATATAGTTTTGTATGCTGAAGTGTAGCAAAAGATGTTTTTTAAGTACTTTTTAATACTACCCTGGATATAATTGTGGTTCATTGTAGCTAGCTGCATACATTTTTTGTTTCATTTCTCCAAAACGAAGTTGATTTACACTACAGTATAATTCTGATTTTTTTTTTTTTAAACAATCTTGAATTACCTCAGCCCCAGTAACTTCAGTCCTTATAAGACCAGCATCCTTGGCCTGTTGTTTCTTTTCTTTTTCAATCTTGGAACTGAAAATTAACAGTAAAAGAAATTAAATGAGACCACACTCTGACAACATTACACTTTATTCCAAATCAAAATTACATTTAACTGCATAATAAACACATATCAAAATTCTTTTGATTGTAAATAATGAAAATATGATAGGTTATCTAAGATGGTAGAGGAGATCTGAAGGTAGAGCAAGTGTAAAGTAATGTGTGCAATGCAAAGCTAACATGATGTGTATAATACTAGACGACCTATCATTTTAAGTCAAAATAAAAATACTATCTTTTTTGAAAATTAATTTGTTTTTGTTCCAGAAAATGAACATTATGGTTTGAGAAAAAGTACCAGTATTTCTCGCATTGGGATGTGAATTCACAAGACCCTCCAACAGTGCAGTTGTTAACTGAGTTATGAAGCCAAAACAGTAAAATTCTCAAACTATTACATAATATGCAATAAAAAGATACAAATTATTAGTACTTATTAGAAATGATAAACAATTGATTTAAACCACATTCTACCATGAAGCAGAATTGTACATTTTTCTGGGAGCATGCATTTGGGTATAAAATGTTTTCAGTAGAATTAATGAATACTTAAAAATTAAATAAATAAATTTTTTTAAATGTCACAATGTTGCTTTCTTTATTAATAACTTATACTCACAATTTTGATTCATACTCTTTCCATGCCTTTTCAAACGGCTTCTTGAGGTCACCCTTTTGACCTTTCAGGTCACCTTTCAACAGCGCATCCAATGGGAAGATGATGATATTGTTAATGTTATGAACCTAGAGACACAAAATAGATAACGACAGAAGCTGCTATAAATGATATGGTCACATGGTACAAAGCAAAGGAAGCTATCTATAACAATTCTTATTGGAAGACACAGCATCTCCAGGGACATATGAGAAACCATTAGCATCAAACACCATTAGTAATAGATAAATATACATAGCATCTGTAGATTTATTTACAGTATCTCTTATCATAAAAAAATATAACATAGAATTTGCAGGTAGAAGTATACTTTACCATATACTGTAAATATTGAAACTGACACAGGCTTATACAGGATTCACAGGACAAAAATGTACTAAACATTTAAAAATTTTAAAAAGCAAATTATATTTTGGTTGTAAGAATGCATATCCTAAAATACCTCGAATATAAGCCCTGGGCTACTTTTTTTGCGAACTTTGGACAGTGTATGTACTGTACTATCTCAAAAAGAAGCCTGCTATCTTGAAATGGGCTTCTTTTTGAGGCTAATTTTGCAAATTGATGAGGTGGGCTTCAATTCAAGATGGGCTTCTTCTCGCGATTAAGCCTATTGGGCTTCAATTCGAGGTTTTACGGTAACTGTACTGTACAAATCAATATAAAACAGCATATGAAGTTGCAGAGATACAGTATAGAAAGGATGCAAGACAATAATAATAATTAACAATATAAATGACAATGGCAATATGAACTTATACTGTACAGTAGTCATATAAAAACAATAATGCAAATTAATAACAAATTTGATTAATTTTATTTATTTATTTAACCATACAGTAGTTTTAGACACGGGTGGGCAAAGTGCGACCCAAAGGCCACGCATGGCCCAACGTTGTTGCGGCTTGCACAAATACATCTTTAGCTAGAAAACCTGTTGTTTTTAAGGCCTGCCGCCGCACATCTGTACAAAGTAATATTAAAACTACACATAAAGCAGAATATAAAATCTATGAAGGTTTTTGATGCAAGCACATGAGGAAGGTCAAATTTGTCTGACCCACCCTGCTTTAAGAGGATAAACTATGCAGCTCCCAATTTTTACATTACTACACGTATAATAAAAATGTATACAAATACACAGGGCCAGTGGAACGTTTTACAAAGTGGGGGGCCCACTAGCATTTCTTTGCGATCATACAAAAATCTACATACATTTTATATATTTTGTAACCAGTATCACAAATTCAAAAAAATGCATTAACCTACAGGCATACTAAGTGTTTAATTTCTTTAATATCTTTTTACAGTTTGATAAGCAGTGATTTTAGTACTAATTGAAACTCGTAAAAAATCATGTTGACGTGAAACCTTAATGAGGATAAACTCGTAACTATGTACAGTATTGCGAGACAAGTCATCGCATGTGATAACCACAATATATTGTAGCCCACCTACACTGTATACCTATAGGGGTCCACAAAAAGAATTATACAGGAAATCACATCTATCCCTGCAGTGACTTCCATCTGGCCAGCCACTGATTTTAATATTTCAAAAAAATTATAAGCCTTGAAACAGCACAAAAAGTTGCCTAAAGTAAAATAATACTGCTTTTTAAGAAACTGCCACTTCATTAAATGTACAGTAATATAAAAAATAAAAATAAAATAACTAATTGTCTACAAAAGTCATTAGCATTTGATAATCAAAACCTGAATAATATCATTCCTATCTAATGTACAAACTTTATACAGTTAAACAGTACCTTTAATTAAATGTAATATAAAAAATAAAAATGAAATGACTAATTTGTCTAATAAAAGTTGTTAGCTTTTGAATCAAAACGTGAATAAATACCATTCC